CTGTAATCCCCCTTATTCGATAATTAATGCGTTTCTCATTTTGAAAACAGTCTGCTTGGGAGGAAAATACTGGGGCTTTCAAAATGAGTGGTCGATAATTAAAGTAAGCTGATGGGCTACTGTAAAAGGGATTGTGAAATTAGTTGGTGACCGGCCCAAGACCGTTTAAATTCAGTCGGTGAGATAAATGAGAGGTGTAGCGATTTATGACGTGATCGTACGATTTTGAGATGCCATTAAATCCATTTCTTAAAGGCACGCTCCGCGATCAGGCGGGCTCGCCTGTTCCATCCAGGGGGTAGTAGGCAGGTGGACAAGTGTTGATGTCGGGCCCCTTTTGCCGCTTGAAAGTGCGCGACAAAGGCGCAAGGAGCTCGTCCGACCCGCAACTCACACCTTCGTCCGCAAGCCCCACCCTCCGCTGTCGGTTGCCACGTGGCGCTGCTTGAAAAGCGCGGGCGCATTTGAGGCAGCGGTCCCATTGCGATCCAATGTTATTGGCACTGGAGCAACTAGAGTTAGGTTCGTGAAACTCGTCCAACGCGCCTCTTCTCTATCCCAAGGTGGAATGTGGCTGAAATAGGGGAGGTCTCTGTACGGGGCGTAATCGGTGGTTTCGTTTGCTTTCCTTCTCTTTTACAGACCACCTCCCACCTATAGCTTCATAACTGAACGCTTTTCCACACCTATTTTATCCCGAATCTTGCCTTTAACACATTGACGACAACGCGAGTTTTGGCTTTTTTGGCCACGTGGGACCGCGGCGATTTTGCGGGCGCGCTCGCCTCAGGTCGTTCAAGCAGATTTTGAGTGATAAATACACAACTAATGATCAATTCAAAACCAAATCAGTAAATTGTAATGAGCGCAACCTACCCAGGGGTACAGTAGTGGAATTTCGATCGAAAGACATGGAATAACAATGAAAAAGCGAAATTTTTCAGAACTAGCTGCAATGGACCTCAAAAGCAATTTTACGTTGATTATTCCAATCAAAACACACATATTGTCATCCCTAAGGTTCCTTATCTACTTCTACTACTATTTAAATCTTCACATTCATAAAAAGAAAAAGTAAACGAAAAATTTATTGAAATGAAGATTTCGTATGGTTCAGAAATCCTCCTCTAAATTAAAGCATACGTGACCATTCTAAGGGCCACTATGTTTGTAGCTACGTCAAGGTCTCTTCCATGGAATGAATACAAGAAACTTCTAAAAGAATCAGGCGTGCGCGAAAAAAATGAGTGTAATGGGTGCGGGGGATATATATCCCCGCGTTCCGTCAATGTGTTAATACCTTTAAGGATCTCCCATTAGTAGCTCCAGTTGTGTTCTAGGTCAATCTCGTGTGTGCAAGGTAGCGTAACCGTTGAAGCGAAGACCTGCTAGTCAGATCCATTGAGTAAAATATCTAATTTGATGAGAGC